CACCAGGGAGTTCGCCACCAAGTAGCTCATCACCAAGGCACGTCACCACCGGATCAAATAACGAGGTACTTAGCCAAAAAAATTTATACATCACAAAAAATGGTATGTGACCAGAAACGGTTACATCATTAATCATCAGTGTGAGTTCAAGATGATGTATTCCAACATTATTGTAAAATCATTCCATTCTAGATCCTTGAAAATATAAGAGTACATGCCCAATGTGCCTTCTGATTTTTGTCTTAAGTATTTAATTATAGCCTCTAGATACAATTTTAGGTTTTAAGTGTACATTGAATTGAATGATGGCTTAATAATAGATATTTCATATATGGGCTGGTATGTTGGACTTTATAGTTGCTTATATGCATTAGAGACAATAAATCAGGTTATTTATGCCCGCTCACAAAGGAAGAATATACGTGCATTAAAAAAAAAAAATTTCTAAACTAATAAAAAAGATATCTTAGATAGAAAACACATTAAACTCATATTAGTGAAAGGAAAATAATCAAAAGTTAAAATATTAGTGTTGTATGAGATTAATGTCCAATGGATTTCTAAAATGGAGTGATATGCATACATGCCATTAATCAAATAAGTTAATCAATTCACATAAGTTGTTAGATGTGATTTAATATAAGATCCACCATTGGATCTTAACTTTATATTTTGTAGACATATATGGGTGATTTTGACCATTAGACGTAATTTACATATAAGATCCACTATTGAATCTCAAAATAATCTACCATATGCAAATGCAAGTACGAATAGTTGGACAATTAGATCAACTCGGTGGCACTCCAACATCAAGAATTTGTCACACTAAATCATGCATGATGTTGTTTCTAGAAACACCTCACTAGATAGCCAAGCATCAAAAAGTGTTTCTTATTACTTATGTGGCATAGAACTTTAGGAGGCGTTATTAGAAATGTCCATGCTAAATAGTCAAACCAATAAACATTTAAAATGACATATTTTATAAACACATCCTTTAATGGATGTGAGTTGGAATTGATAATGATTGTTGGATTCTTGTAGCATAATATGGACATTAATTGCAATTTCTTCTTATGGTTAAATGGGGTGAAGTTATGTCGATGTGGATTCGATGTTTGCTAAGTGTTTTCAACCAAACGATTTGGCCCATATGGTAAATGCTTTTGGGATTGTTCAAAGTCAAATGTAGTATATGAACATAAAGTTATTATTTATTTACTTACATATATCTTATATAATGGTGTGATTTTGTTAACATAGCAGGAAGGTGGGTTAAATTCAGTTCCAATGAAACCCAGTTCTAAATAGACTTTGAGCATTGTGGACTTCCAATGAAACCTAGTTTCAATGTTGCTAGATTTGGATTGGATAAAAAACCAGAATGCTCAATGCTCATGATTTTATTGATTAGTTATATAAGAGGAAATAGATATGATATTATGAATAATGTATTGTAAACCCACTAGTTTTTGCCTTATTTTGTAAGGAAATGATTAGTCTATGCAAATGTTGGAAACTTTGCTCCACAGATTAGATAAAATGGTTGAACTTTGCAAAAAAAAAAAAAAAAAAAGCTACTCTAGACCCTAAAAAAATTAAAAGGCCATTTTCACCATTGAACTATAATGGATTAGACAAGAAATAAAATAATGTAAATGTGCTTATGTGGCACTACTCAAATTTGAAAAGGCCATTTTGACCCTAAAGTTTGAAAAACCATTTTAATAAAGTGAATTAAGTAAATTACTTCAAGGTCTATGATAGAATATAGTTAATTAAGTAAATTAAGCCAACTATGTAAAATAAACAATTAAATAAATTAATTAAAAAACTAAGTTAATTAACTAAATTAAATAAACAAAGTAAATCGATCTGAATAAGTAAATTAAGTCAATTAAACAAGGTCTTAAAAATCAGGTCACCAATTTCTAGGTTAGTGGTTTGATTTCTCAATCCAAATAGATTCGCCTGTGATAATTCTAAAAATTAAAACATAAAAAATAATTAATTGAAATAACAAACTACCCAAACATTATTGTTTAGGTCAAACATGTTGGCAATTTGACTACCTAAGCCAATGGGTTGTTGACCAATTGAATGGTTTTTGGCCAAAGAACAATTTGGGGTAAAAATAGAATTGGTCTCTTGATCGGTTTTTGGGTTGAATGGGTCAATTGTCTAGTTTAATGACTGTTTGAAAACCATGAGTAGTTCAACCATCTAGATTAGTAATTTGATGACCAAGTCAACATTTTTTTTTTGGAAATTCTAGGGAATATATATAAAGGGGAATTAGACAATTGATTGGTTCTTGGGTCATACAGTCCAACCACCCAAATCAACAATGATTTTAAAACATGCAATCAAGTGAATTAACTAACTTATGAAGTATATTAAGCTAAGTAAATAAATTAATTAAATAATCAAAACTAATTAAGGTAAATAAGTAATTTAAGTTACTACTAATAAAGTAAATTAATAGTAAATAAATTAATTAGTTTAATTAAGCAAATTTAGTTATTAAGTTAACTAAGTTAATTTTGAAAATTAAGTGATTAATAATTTACCATTAGTTAAGCTAATGTAGTTAGTGTTTAACTAATAATATACACTTAATTGTTGCTAACTATTTACTATTAAATTAATTACTTCGAGAAAATCCTTAAAGTAATTTACTTCAAGGTTAATAAAATTTATTTTTTTAAGTATTAGACTTTTTAACATCAAAAGTGGTCTTTTCAAACTTCACGGTTAAAAAGTCGCTTTTACATAATGCCATATAAGCATGTATTTGTTATTTTATCCATTGTCTAATGGATCTATCAATTTAATGACATTTCTAATATTGTCAATTTTTGCCTTAAAATGGATTTTTCAATTTTTAGGGTCTAAAGTGGCTTTTTTTTTCTTAAGAAAAAAATCCATAGATAAATGTGGGATCCATAAAACATGCATTACAAGACAAAAGTTGGACGGATTCAACTATGATATGATACTAGAAAGACATTATATCAACAAAACTTCTAACTAATCAACCAATATTATCATCAAAATTCCTCAATTCCTCTACAAAAGAAGGAATCCACGAATTGCATAAACTGATTTACTAACATTCCTCTGATTTTCTTAGATACAACTAAGTATGGGCAAGTATTTTGATATATATTTTTTATTCATCAATGTTTTAACACCTATTTTTATTATTTAATTTAAAAAATTAAATTAATTTTTATTTTTATAGGGATGAGAAATGATTATTTAGTTGTTTTTTTTTATTTAATTACCCTCACTTTTGAAAGAGTGGTTTGACACATGGCACGTAAGCTTGAAGCCAGCTAATAATTGAAAGTGGAGCTTTAAAAGCAGTTCTTTTAAAACCCAACTTAAGTCTGGTTGGAAACTCACTTATTCATGACCATGACCATGATCGAGTGGTTTAATCGAACAGCCATTAATGTTCAAAAATTGCTGACCCGATTCCCTTGCCGGTTTTAAATTTCCTAATTTAACCAACTCTAGTTCTGAAAGTGACTAACTGACTACCACAATCAAATTTGCATGGGCACCCTATGGAGCGTGTCCCACACTCGCCCCACAAATATAATGCATCTGGACTGTGTATTGGAAATCTTCCATTGACAACTATGGGAGATGTTCCCAATGCATGCTGAGGTATGCATGTGGGGAGATCAGATTCTGTTCTCACAAAAATTTGTTCTCACATTGTTTAAATAATACTTGCGAACACTGCATTTGGAACATCTCCGTATATATAAAATGCAAACTGCCAAGTGTTGTGAAGACTGAATCTGAATTCGCTTGTGGGGTGCCAACATGAACCTACCACAATCCAAAAGTAAAAATTGGATTTAATCCTCACAAGACTGGAGATCGGCTTTTATCAGGACAAACCTGTGCCTATTCCATTCTAATACCTCTCCATAAAATAACACACACAAATACAGAGATATTCTCAATGCAAAGCAGTAAAAACTACTCGAACGGGCTTTCCCTGACTGGGCGAACGGTATGAGCACGGTCTTATAACTTGTGAGCAGTGAAGCCGACCTCCCGAAGGACGTTCGGTCTTTGGGCGTCTACTGGGTCAGTATTGTAATCCATCAAGAGTCACGGCCCAATTAGAACCTCCTAAAGAAAGAAAAGTCGGAAGCCCAAGCCCAAAAAGAGTCCATCGCGATGTCAGGCCTAGGGATTCACTGCAGGAGAAATCGGGTGCGTCAGCATGTGCACACCGAGATGGAAGGCGGAGATCATCCAACGCAGACACGAAGTCAGGCCTACCAATTTGAATTCAAATATGCCAATAACGTTAGGATTTCAAAGCCTCAGCTTCGCTACCGAACCTAATATCTTCAAAAAACCGAACCAAAATAAAAACTACCTAAATATTAGAATACACGTTCTCCTTCAGGAACCACATCCAAAAGGTGTATACGAGCCAAAGAGCAGGACGAGGCTCGGACCTGACACGCATATTCTGCTTCTTTCTCACAACTTCACAAGGACGTGGACAAACACATCGCGGTTCCAGACTTCTTCGCGAAGAGCGGAGGAAGGAAAGCTGAGTTTTTAGGGGCTTCATTCTGTGAATCTGTAATTGCTTGATTGCTTCCTTTCAGAAGATACGGGGAAAAAGAAGAAGAAGAAATGGTTTCTAGTTATTAGGGTATCTTATTTTTACTCCTCTCTGTGCAAGTAACCACTTTCGTAGGATACTAGAGTCTTTGTTTTCATGGAGGAACCCTCAAGAACAACGCTTCACGACTTCCATTTAGCTTCAAGAAAGGCAGAAGAAGCAGGTTTGTAGGAATGAATCTTTCTCCTTCCTAAACTCCACTTCTTTCTTTATTTAGTTTTCTCTTATGAAATTAGTAGAAATGATTCTGGCTTCCTCTTGCAATCTTGATTTTCTTCATCTCCGTGTTTGCAGCTTTGAGACGATACCATGCTGCAGAATGGCTTGAAAGCTTGGTTGGACCGCTCGGCATACCGAGTCAGCCGTCGGAGCGAGATTTTGTTTCTTGCTTGAGAAACGGTCTTATCCTCTGCAATGCCATTAATAAGATCCAACCCGGAGCAGTGCCGAAGGTATAGCTGACATGATTTTTTTCTATCATTAGGATTCATTTTTTTTTTTTTTTCTTTTGTAAATTCTTTTGGTCTCCCTAATTGTTTTGGAATGGGAAATGTTTCAAGGTAGTAGAGAGTCATTCACAGTCGCCTACCTTGGAAGCTCAGCCATTGCCTGCTTATCAGCACTTTGAAAATGTTAGAAACTTTCTAGTAGCCGTTAATGAGTTGAAGCTCCCTACTTTCGAAGCATCCGATCTTGAAAGGGTAAATGAGGAACCCCATTGTCATCATGTCTGGTCTTTTCACTGCTTTATACCCAATTAACCTGTTTTGTATTTGTTTCCAGGATAATTTGGAGGTTGGATCCGCAGCGAAGGTTGTGGACTGCATTTTAGCGCTTAAGATTTATCAGGAGTGGAAAAATGTCGGAGTGAATGGTTCCTGTAAATATGCAAAATCTCCAATGGTACCTCATTCAGCTAATAGGATGCATAGTCGAGTCTCTGCTGCAATTTCCTCGGAACCTTTCAGGCGTTTGGACTTGTCTGCTGCTCCCTCTGACAAACAGCTAACGATCGATGTGGAAAAAGGGAAACATGAAGGTACGGTTTTTTTTATCACCACTTCTTGTTATGTGTTCTCTTCATTTCTTTTAGAAATGCCCATGGTATACTTTATTATGATGTCCTTTAGATGGAATGTTAAATTATTATATACAGTTTTGTCATTGATACTAAAGAATATTGTCCATTGATCTGTTACCATTTGTCCATAGATTCACTTGTTAGAGCAATTACAGAGTGTCTGTTTGCTACAAAGGAGAATATTGATCAGAGCTTGCTGACTTCCTTTCGTCATGGAAAACTGGTGATAACTCATTGCTATCATCATCAATTAACCGTCATTAAATTAGATAAATTGGAAGTATTGAAAAATTCTTTCTGCTGCAGGATTCTGTCCAGTTTCTCACTAAGATCATGCCAAGTTGTTCTCAGGATAAGCAGCTTTATAATCTCCCTGAGGTGAGTTTCTTATCAGAGGTAAAAATCATTCGATGAGTTAGGATTTGTGCATTTTCAAAAAAAAAAAAGTTAGGATTTGTGTCCATATTATCTTTTAGTATGAATAAAAAGCAGAAAGAAAAGATAATGTTTCCTGTTCATTCATAATTGCATATTTTAAATGGTTAGTTTTTATTGCATATTGATTAGCTCTAATTGCACCTTAAAGAGCCATAAATAATGATGCAAGATTAGTCAATTGAATGGCATTGATCCAGAAACAATGTGTAGAAAACTTATGATGTTTACATTAAGTTAGTGCTGCCACTGTATCAAAATTGTTTTTTCTAGATGGTAAGAAGTAAGAATGAGACACAACCTTAAGCCAACAAACTCAAAACAAACACCCACCTGCAAAACCTTAAAAATTACAATAATAAGTTTTGCAGCACAACTCCTTAGTCCTTAGGCTATCCTTTTAGGGAAAAGGTTTACTTTCTGGGATGTAATACACTTGGTTGACACTTTGGTTGGTATAATATGCAATAAAAATAACTAACTATTCTCTCAGTTCCCTAATCTCACTACTCTTTATTCAATCAAGTAGCAAGCAGCACCAAGTTAAATGGTTGAAACCCTCTGTGAAATCTTATGTCAATATTAAACTTTTTCCCCAAGGCTCAGTTTGGGAAGGGTACACATACTGAGCCTAAAAGTTTAATATTTGGGATAAGGCATGGATGATGATGAAGATGACTCTTCCCAAACTCAGCCTAAAAGTTTAATATTTAGGTAAAAACTACATGAATTACTTTTGTTTAACCCTCTGTGAAATCTTATGTCAATATTAAACTTTTTCCCCAAGGCTCAGTTTGGGAAGGGTACACATACTGAGCCTAAAAGTTTAATATTTGGGATAAGGCATGGATGATGATGAAGATGACTCTTCCCAAACTCAGCCTAAAAGTTTAATATTTAGGTAAAAACTACATGAATTACTTTTGTTTAACCATCTCCAAGGGCAAAAATTATATTCAAGACCTATAATGCAAGAGAAGTTAGGTATTCTTTTTACTGCATAGATCATTTTATATCTTTGCGCTAAAAGTTGGTTTTACTTTTCTACCTTATTTAACCAGTGTGAGAATGCAGTTTGAGTCTGAACTCTGAAGGTGAGAAAAAATGTCAATGGTTAGGACTGTTTCCAGTCTACCCCTCCCAAGACACCGGATAATACACTTTTTGGTAATCAACCTCAGATAGCTGGGACCAACATTAGGTAATGGCCTTTTTTTACTTTATTTAAGCATCAGAAGGCCAATTAATTTCACTAAATTTTTGGTTTCTCTCTGTTCTGTGTTGCTTGGACTCTTCCTAAATGGACAATGTGTCCATGTACACTCCATGGAATCTTGAGGACACTTACGTGCAACATTTCATTTCTATTTCCCATCTTATTTGACATAAATGAATGACTAATGTACAAGATGAATGCCATGTTTCATAACAAACATTGTTTAGTAACTAAGGCAACACTTTTTTCTGGTATATAATTATAATATTAGAATTCAAAAAAATATGAACCATTCTGATAGTATATACTTTTTCATTGATGTGTCTGTGAGCCCATATTTTATCATCCTTCTGAGTCGGACTCTTGGATGTGCTCAGGATTCTGGTTCCAGTGTGTGTCCATGCAGCAATGTTTATGATCCCATTCCTTATCTTCAACTTATTATTTTGATTTCTAAATGCTTATGGGTATTGGTGGAAGATCATGGAAACCCATCAACAGCCAGCATAGTCTACCATCGTCATGGGAATTTGCATTCATAAAGAAATCCTGTTGTCTGCACTACATGTTGTTTGTTAATAAATGAGCCTTATCAATATATGTTATTATATTTTACTAATCGAAAACATGAGGGAAAGGTTTAATTTTCAAATTAATCAATTCAGATTTTGAATTATTATCTTATACATTAGACTCTTGATGTTATGAGGGCCATTTGAATTTTATTTTTCATAAGCAACAATAACGGAGATATATTGATGATATAAGAGCCACTTCCTACTATTCAAAAAGAAGAATAGCAGGACAAAACTGAAGAAGCATGTAGCTGAACCTAATTCCGAAAAGAAGGCTGTGTAGAAACTTTTCTATTTTGGTTAATCTAGCTCCACCATTAAGAAGAAAAGTCTGTTTTAGATATTGCTCTCATAATGAACAAAGTGTATCTTTTTTTTGTATATTCTTCTAGCAAGCATATGTTTATGTTTTTCAAGTTTTTAGTCCCATAATATTCACTGATTATGTACATCAATGCCATCTCAGTTTGTATGGCATTTGGGCTTTCAATTATCCCCTCCCTTGTTTTTGCTTCTATTTTATTTAAAGTTGTTATAAACTCAACCAACACTTGTTTTGTATGGTTATAGTTGAAACAAATCCTTAAGGATCCTTTAGGAGAAGGAAATATATATTCAACACCAACACCTGTAGCCAACTCATCTCCAATTGGAAAGTCTAGGGTATGGTTCTCACTTCCTCTCTCTCCATTTTTTGTAGAAAATAAATGAACCTGCTGAAGTTTTATTCTTTACAATTAATTTTCATGAATTATTTTCATAATTGGATTATTAAATTTCAAAGGTTATGTCTGTATCTAGTCCCAATCCCTCACAAGACCTTAGATAGCTGGGAGCTTGGGACCAACATTTTGTTCTGGCCCTTATTTTAATCATTGGAGTTATTCATTTATTTAGAATTAAAATTTTATTGGGGGAGCTCTAAGCAAGATGACCATGATGGATTCCTTTAGCAAAGAGATATTGTTGAAATGTTAAACAAGACAATATTAAGATGGTTTGGCTTACCAAAGTAAATGGTTTTAAGGTTGGAACTGTATGGAACTTGAACACAATAATCTTATTGTTGGAATTGCATTATACTTTTATTTTGTACATCATGTTCTTTATGGGTGAAATGGTTTTGGATCGTAGTAGTAACTATTTGGTTATTTTTTTCCCCATATCAAATTGATCTACATGTAAATGTGAAAGACTGGTCTGTAAAATTTTTTATGTTATTTTTTAAGACAAATTTAAAATATTTTTTGTTATTTATTTATTTTTACTGGTAAAAGCAAATTTGTTATTCTAAATCTTGAATTGAGGTCCATCTTAGACAGATATTTCAAAGGTTACAATTAATTACTATTTTGATTCTAAAATTGTAACTTGAATTGATTGGCGACCTCTCTGTGTGCTCTTGCTATTGTATTTTGTTCTATTGATAAAATCACTAACATCTCAAGCAGTCCCAAGCTTTATGTGGGATATAATAATTGTGTCCTGTGTAGAATTCTTTGGTTTTACAACTTACAATTATTGTTCCAATCCTATTTCCTCTGGGTGGTTAAGTTTGACTATACATTCATTTTTATCTCCTTCATGAATTTCCTACCTAGATCAATTTGGTCTCATTAGTTGCATTTTGACATTCCAAACAGCCTGCTGCTTTGCACTTGAATGGGCAGGTCATATGAATTTTCTGTCATTGTGTCATAGTGTCATAGTGTTTTTCTTTACATGTTATATCTGATTAGCTATTAATTTATGCTCCTATGAGTTTTTATGCATTGTTTTGATTGCAGTGTTGCAGGTCTTGTTTGACAAAGGGTAACTGCAAGCATTGGCGCCTATTGGAAGTACAAGAAAAAGATCTCCTGGTGAGATTCGCCTTCTTTGATACTAATGGATTTCACTTCATATTGTTATTGAAGGAAGAAAATGGATTTCACTTTATATCGTTATTGAAGGAAGAAAATGGATTTCACTAAATCTTGGGTAAAAATATTCTGATGTAAAGGTTCTTTTGACAAAAATTTGAATTATGATTTGTCATCATGGACATTGGAAACAGAAGTGAAAATATTTTTATATACCACGAAATTTGATTTTTCAAGCTATCCATAAAACAAATTATTAGTTATGGATTTAATAAGTTCTACTTATTATTAATTCTACAAAAACCTTGGTACTAGTTATCTGTATTTATATCAAAACCATTAGTCTTATTTGGTCACAGTAAATGGCAATAAATCTGAACAGTTTCTCTTTTGTCACTACAAAGGGTACAATATAGTGCTTTAAAAGTGCAAGGGGAAATTGTGGCCGAGGTGCAAGGTGTAAGGTGCAAGGCAAGGTGTGTGCCTTTTTGAAGCAAGATGCAAAAATACAAAAACTGCCAAAAAAATTCCAAAAATGCAAAAAAATTAAAATATTAAGTATAACATTAATAAAAAATATAATCTTAAATTTTAAAATAAATGTTTTAAAAAACCTATTATCTAAAATTAAAATACATAAACATAACATGTAAAGCATATTCAAATAAAAATTTAAAAAGAAAATCAAACATGCAAAACATTTTCAAGCATGTAAAACCCACAATCTCTTTTTTTTCCTCAATTCCATTACTTCAAATAGCTAATGTGATGTAAAACATCTTGCTATCCTAATTATACGAGCCGTATTTTTACCCTGCCCCTTGATGCAAGCCCAAACGAGTCCATGTTAGGGTCTTAAATTTTTAATCCCTATACAAAAAAAAAAAACGATTTCATAATTTTAATTGCTTTTAAAGAAAATATTTTATTATGACAAATGAATGAACAACATTAGAAAAAAAAGCACACGATTGGGCTGAAGCACTAGGCACATTGGGCACGTGCCAAGAATAAGAATCAAAATAACAAAGGAAAAAGCTGTTCTCTAGTTCCTTACCACCTTTTGTATATTTTCTTTGTTATTTGAAAGGGAGATGAAACATGCCATCAATGTTTTCTTCTCTTTTATCTACAGGTTTCTGATGCTGTTTATATTTCAGGAACTAAAGGAATTGTTGTCAAGGACAAAGAGAGAGTTTGAGTTGTTGCAGTCTCAATGGCAGGGAGATTTACAGCAACTAGGTATGGTCTTTCATAGGAATGATGGCATCGCGAGTAAATTATTGAGCACTGTATTATGTAAACACGATGGGTGTTATGATTATAAACAAGATAGCACTGGCCTTTAGTCTCAATGCATTAAATTCTATATCTAAGACCAAATTACTGGGTTATAAGTTCTTTTAGTGTGTATTATGAGCATAAAATTTGTTCTCCAAATCTACAGATTAATGATGAAGTTAAAAATCCTTTAACAATTGATTTTAGTTCCCTCAAAGTATAAATTGGGCTCATAGTCAACCTTAGGTGAACAATTATGGTATTACTTTTGGACTGTTTTGGTACACCTAGTCATGATATTAGAAGACTTCAGAAAGTGGTCTTCCTAAAGTGTTGTCCTTTTCTTGCTGATATTTTCAGGAATCCAGGTTCAAGAGCTTTCATCTTCTGCTCTTGGATACCAAAGAGTGGTGAAGGAAAATCGAGATCTCTATAACAAGGTTCAGGATTTGAAAGGTTAGCTTACTTCTTGGCGATTATTCTTGAGAGATCTGGTTATACTTTTTCAAATCTTAATTATATTGTTATTCAGGAAACATTCGAGTGTACTGTAGAGTAAGGCCAACCTTAAGCAATGATACAAAGAATGCTATAGATTTTATTGGGGAAGATGGATCACTAGTGGTTCTAGACCCATCAAAACCACAAAAAGGTGGTCAAAAGGTCTTTTGTTTTAATCGGGTCTTTGGTCCAACTTCTACCCAAGGTAAACCTACATCACATTTTATTACTTTGCATTTTCGAAACAAAATCTGATTTCATTTCTCATATATGATTATTTTCTTTTTCAGAGGAGATTTTTAAGGAAACTAAACCATTAATTAGGTCTGTTTTGGATGGCTACAATGTATGCATTTTTGCCTATGGTCAGACAGGATCTGGTAAAACATATACCATGGTAAGATCCTTAGTCAATTTAATATCAGATGAGTAAAATTGTATGGATCTTTGTTTTGTTCTTTTATTAGCTTATTTGATATATTTTTTTCTCTATGGTGTGTCAGTGTGGTCCATCTGGAGGATCTACTAAAGACAGGGGAGTAAACTATTTGGCTCTCAATGATCTCTTTCAAATATCTTGTAAAAGAAAGGATATTATTAACTATGATGTTCAAGTTCAAATGATTGAGATTTACAATGAGCAAATAAGAGACCTTCTTGCAGAAGAGTCATCAGACACAAAATATCCTTTTCCTGGCTTTGTTGTTTTACTCCTTTTCTTTTTTAACTAAGTATATAATTGAATGAAGTGTGAAAAAGGTTTGTGCATGAGAAGATGTACAAAAAAGCAAAATTGCTGTTGATAGTGCCCCCACTACAAAATCACTTGCTACACTTGTTATTTGCTAGTTTTTGCATTTATATGTATCTTAAAGTTGTCTTCTTAACAACTGACAAGTTAGAGATACGGAGTTGTACAAGCAATGGTGGATTTGGTCTTCCTGATGCTACAATCCATCCCGTGAAGTCCACTATGGATGTCCTTCATTTGATGGAATTTGGTGAGATGAATCGTGTGGTTAGCTCTACCGCTGTCAACAACCGAAGCAGCCGTTCTCACAGGTTTTTTTTCCTTGTTTTCTTTTTTTTTTTGTTCTTTTGAATTTAGGCTAGACCATTTGGATAGTCTGTATTGATATCCTGAATTTGTGGCTTTTTTGTAGTATCTTGTCTGTACATGTGAATGGTAAAGATATATCTGGAAGCATTCTCCGCAGCTGCTTGCATTTGGTGGATCTTGCAGGAAGTGAAAGGGTTGATAAATCAGAGGTCACAGGAGACAGACTCAGGGAGGCACAATATATTAATAAATCACTTTCCTGTTTGGGAGATGTTATTAATGCCTTAGCTCAGAAAAACTCTCACATCCCTTACAGGAACAGCAAACTTACTCAACTGTTGCAAGAATCTTTAGGTTGTAATTTGCAAGCAATTTATTTTCCAAATTCATTTAGATTTTAACTTGGTGGCTGTTCTGAATCAAATTTCCTCTCCTTAAATATATTACTGTAGGAGGGCATTCAAAAACATTGATGTTTGCTCATGTGAGCCCTGAAGAAGCCTCCTATGGGGAAACAATCAGTACATTGAAGTTTGCACAGAGGGTTTCAACTATTGAACTTGGTGCTTCTCGATTGAATAAAGAGAGCAGTGAGGTTAGGGAACTGAGAGAACAGGTAATTAAGTATTTTATGAGGTTAATATCTGATCAGCAACAGTATGAGATTAATACTGGCATGCTTTTGCAGCTTATGAATATTTTTTATAGTTACTCTCCCTCCTGGTGCCCTCTGTCATGAAGTTTTTAATGGCACAGAGAAGGAAAAAAATTGCTAGTACAGAAGCATTTGATATGCATCACATGATTGGTACATCATCTTGTTTAATTTAATGTGACCAAATTGTTGCCTATTGAAAGAAAAATAATTGAATGCTTCCTTACCACTTTTTAAGGGCTATTTAATTAGAATAGTTTCTCTTCCATGCACCCAAGTATCCTTTTGCATTAACATCTGTAACACATCTTCCAATAGTGGTAAGGAAGCAACTTCAATGTTGCTTATAGACCATAGAGGGCTTTCTTAGGCATCATATGTTGTATCTTTCTCATATACAGCAGTGGGTGAAGGCCCAATACTGGATGACTCCAACCTTAAAAGATTATCTAGGCAAAAAGTGTACATTTAATTGGACCCAATAAATGCTGGTTCCAATGCACTGGACATTAGCCATATATATATATTTCCTAATAAACTTCATATCTATATTCTCCATAGTGGTAATTTATTATCAGGATCTTGTAATACAGAAATGGCTATAAATATTATGCATAAAAAATACAAGGAACAGAATAAACTTGCAATTTTGTTTGGAGATCTCATGGGTCAGAAGTAAACTGAATTCCTTTTCCCAACTGTCCAAAAGATTGACACTGATTAAATATTATACAGTCAGTCAGTCACCACATAGATGTCCAAAAGATTGACACTGAATTCCTTCTCGTACAGAAACTTGCAATTTTATTTGGAGACCTCATGTGTCAAAATAGACTCAATTCCTATTCCTAACTGTCCAAAAGATTGACATTGATTAAATGTCCATACAATTGGCCAGTCAGTCGCATGATCTTTTAACCGAGTGTAATGTAATATCCAATAGAAGGAATCTAAAGAGTACTTATGACTAACATTTTGCAGGTTGAGAGACTGAAGAAGGCATTAGCAAGCAAGCAAACACAAACGCCAAAATTAAATATTGGCGTTCGAAGATTGCTCACTGAAAACTCCATTCCAATAAAGACCAATAAGGTAGTGAATACAAATGACAGGAAGGGATCTAAAACTCCTATTGTAAAAACAAAACCCAGAACTCAACACACCCCAATTCGTTCACGAAGATTGAGCTTGGAAGGCCCTATGTACAGGATGGAACAGCTGCAGATTAAAAAATCAGATGTAAGTTAGCTATTACATCTGATTGTTTTTTCTTTTTTCTTTTTTAACTTAAAAGTGTCTAGTCCTTCCCACTCTGAACCAATTAAGGGTTTCTTTGATTGGTACAGGTTTCTTTGATCAGCAAGGAAAGAATAGTACAGCAGCATGTTTCTGTGAATTCATCTCAAAATGACGGGGAAGCTCCCTGCACAGAATCTGATCAATGTCAAGATGCAAAAGAAGTAAAGCTCTGTGGAGGCTTTATAAATGGTAATTCCACAATGGAGGTGGATCACTGGAATGCTCCTCGTAGTCCCATTTCAGCTTATCAAAGCGAAAAAATGGAAACAGAGAGTAGAAAGAGAACCCCACCTCTCCAACTACTGAAGACACCTGAGCCTCAAAATACAAGGCATGGGATTCAGATACGAAGACAGAAGGAACCTGACCTTTCCAACAAGTCTCTGACACCCAGTTCAGCTAGTGATATGGGTAGAAAAGGATCTCAGATAAAGAAGTCATTACAGGCCATTGGGAAACTAATTAATGGCTCTGAGAAAAGGTTGGTAATATTATGACATATTATAAATATAAGCTACAAATAATTCAAGGAAGGTATTCATATCTAATCATATATGCATACTTGCAGGAATAAACAGTACCAAGTGGAAATACTGTCACCCATCCATGCTCCAAATAATGTCAGTGGTGGAAAATCACCAAGAACTGCTAATTCAAGGGCATCAAGGAGACAGTCACTAACTGGTGCTCAGTCTTTAACATCTGATAGATCCCGAAGATCTTCTCTTGGGGGCAAGTTAGCAGACTCTCGTGATTACAAACTAAAGTATATAGTAGCTTAATTAACAAGATGACTCTGAATCTATTTGATCAGTTTCTTATGCTTGTTTTAATTTCTTTGCAGATTCAAATGAAAACCGAAATGCAAGGACACCGCCTCCCGCCCATCCTCCAGTCAACATGAAAAAGCAGTGGGTGTAAATCTCTCATTTCATGCGAGAGAAAAGATGATGGTAATCTGCTGACTTGGAGCATTCTTACATGTTAACACTAATCAACTAACATTGTTGACTTGTTCGGCAACATAGAGTTGCTGATAGATAAGGCTTTGGTCTAACACGTTAACATTCTTTTAGATAGATGAAGGTGTACCTGTTTTTCCTACATGACAGTTCCGAAGTGGCTGTTCTGAAGTCTGAAGAAATATATCATAAATGTACCAATTAGTTCATTATATAATTGATTTTTATGGGTTGGGAGCCCCTTTTTCTTGATCTCTTGATCCACAATTATCATAACTTGAACAATTTATCTCCATTGAATGGACAAGGCAAAAGATTACATTACCTGGCCAAACTAGTTCCATATCTAGCATGAATTGTTTTGACACAGATAAAATTCCCTTAGATTCCACAGACATATTAAATTGTGCTAACAATATCTCAACTATATCAATAGTGACAAATAACAATATTTTTCACTCATCCCTAGATTATAATCTCTCTCAGACTTGAGGAAATATCATAATCATACCACAAGGTCCAGAATAAAATATGTCAACAAAGTTTCACGCCATATATTTTGGCAAAATGTTGAAATAGAAAAAATGGATCCTTAGTTGCAAAATACAGAAGTTAATCCTCCAGGAAGATCACAGGTACATATATAGCGACACTGCTTCTCCCAAACAAGATGTGATACCTACTGGTAGATACCATTATATTCAGCAAAATACTTGTAAGCCCAAGTTTCAACGTAGAGCTAAAGGAAATCTCCATGGTCTTCAAAACGAGTAAAAGAATCAAAACAGAGAACTGAGTACCTTGAAAGATCCTCCGAATTGTCCAGAAACTAAAAATTAACTGCTCAAAACATTCCAAGTAGAGAGATGTGTTGAAGGTCATCGGAATTGAACTGTTCAACGGACTACCTGCTGCAAACAAGAAAAAAAAAGGGGATTATTTCTTACAAAATGTTTGCAACCAAAGTGCCATGTCATTATGTGCTGCTAGAGGTAATTAGGTATTAGAAAAAAAAGGTTTTAATCAATCATTCAGATAAAATTTGATCAACCATGTATATCAACACAATTGATTCCACAAAGGAAGCAAGGTTAGAACTCTACTGTCAAATTTCATTGAGCATACTGGTTGCACTATGACACTGAATACTGCACGAATACCTCAAATATGTACAATTTATAAGCCCTTCACTTAAAAGCAAAAGTATCGAGAATTTAATTTGAAACAAATGGAGTTCAATCAGAATATGCATGGGAAAGAACGGAATTTCCTATTTTACTAAGTCTTCGCATTGTCAACATCTTGTAATCAGATGAATATGAATAATCCAAGCTCTTAATATTGTTTATTAAGATATTAAGAATGAAAAGAATTTGTATATTGTTTCACACAATTAAGTAAGACTTGGTGCATGCTCTGTCTAAAAGAGTCCAAAAAGAGATTGAAGGGTCATTGATCTCTCATAGTGACACTAATTGGGGATTTGAAAGAGTATCGGATGTGAAACCAGTAAATTAAGAATTATATCGGAAACCACTCAGGGCAACTCTGAAATCCTCAAACTCTCAGGACAAGTGAGGTTTTTCAGTTGCATGGGTAGAGACCGGAGCTGTTGGCAGTCTCTAATACGCAAGCACTTCAAAGTAGTGAAATGTGGCAACACCCCTGTCATTCGTCAACTTGGGGCATTTATCAAATTCCAAAGGTTGAAGGTGCGGAAATGGTAATACTGCGGGGAGGGTTACTTGTTGTGGTTGTTGCTCATCATGGGCATCAACATACTTTTTATTGCCTTTATCAAAGCCCAACAATGACCATTCGTCCAAATTGAGCATATTATATAAAGAAAGTTTGGTCGATGAAGCAAATATTGACACTGTTGCCATGATATGATCACCATACAATTTTGCACCTCATTCAACTTGGAATCTTTCTTCCTGGATATCCTTCCACAGTTAAATTCCTTCAGATTTGGGTGTGGTTGTAGACATTATTCTACCACATCCTCTGCCGCCTTCACGATCACCTTTCCTATACCCACCAGCTTTGGATTACTCTCTTCTTCTCCCACCCTAAATGCTCTGTTTCTGAACAAAGACCAGCAGTCATCATCTGATAAACCCCCCAAAAAGAGTATGACACCACCGTGCCCATCGTATCTCCCACTTTGAAACTACGAGTGGTTACTACGATTTTGCTTCCTCTTGCTCCACAAAACAAATATTTTCTCAATCCGTCCCATTTCTCCTGATCCTCATTCCATTACATCGTCTAGAACGAGTAAAAATAGCTTCCCTCGCAACACCTCTTGCAGGCGTTGCTGCAAGACATCCATGTTTGAGGTGTCACATTTACTACCAGATGTAGCAGATTCTATAATAAATCCAATAAGCCTTCTGACTTCAAAATCATTAGAAACACGCACCCACATTCGTAGGTTAAAATATCTTTTTACTCTCTCTTCATTGTATGCCAACTGAGCAATTGTTGTCTTGCCCAGTCCCCCCATTCCAACGATGGGGATGATTGAAATTTCATTCTCATCACCACTGTCAGTCAGGCGAGAGGCGTGGGTACAGCCTTTTGGTACGGCTGTTAGATGGAATGCTTCTCGTGAGGCCCCGGACGAGCTCCTTGGTGATGAGCTCCAAGCTGCCTGGTGGCGAGCTCCTTGGTGATGAGCTCCGAGCTGCCTGGTGGCGAGCTCCTTGGTGATGAGCTCAGGGCTGCCTGGTGGCGAGCTTCTTGGTGATGAGCTCCGGGCTGCTTGGTGGCGAAATCCTTGGTGATGAGCTCCAGGCTACCTGGTGGCGAGCTCCTTGGAGAGCTGCCTAGTTCCTTGGTGGCGAGCTCCTTGGAGAGCTGCCTAACTCATTGGCGAGATCCTTGGAGAGCTGCCTAACTCCTTGGTGGCGAGCTCCTTGGCGAGCTCCTTGGAGAGCTGCCTAGCTCCTTGGTGGTCAGCTCCTTGGCGAGCTCCTTGATGAGCTGGCGAGCTCTTTGGCGAGCTCCTTGGCGAGTTCCTTGATGAGCTGCCGAGCTCCTTGGTAGTGAGCTCCTTGAAGAGTTGCCGATCTCCTTAGTGGCGAGCTGCCTAGTTCCTTGGTGATGAGTTCCGATCTACCTGATTGGCAAGAGGCTGCACTTATTTGGCATGAGGTGCCAGGTGTCATAATTTCACTAGAGGGCCAAATCCGCCCTCATCAGAATCAGTCTCTCTTCTCTCTTTATTTTCATCTCTTATTTGCACTTCAGACTCCCTCATAAGAAATTGAGACCTTTCAGCATTAATCCGGTTTATCTTATCCATAACGCTCTTAGTTTTATGACCTATTCTGCTGCGGAAAATTAGTGATTTAGGAGAAAAATAGACGTTGCATACCTTTTTAATCACGTGGTCATCCCTGTTGGCTTTGCAACGTAGAGCTTCTGTCTGAAACTCGTCCAATACATCTTCTGCATCGTAAGCCGCATCCTTGAGCTTGTGGAGCCAATCTTTCACAGCTCTGTTGTTTACTTGCTGCTCCTCTGCATCTTGAAGGACCGTTCGACTTGCTGATAAGCTACTGCTAAGATTTTCTAGCTCCGATTTGACACCATATATATTAATGCAATCTCTTAGCCGATTAGAGAGCTAAAGCTCTCTACAAGATTATCCACAAAAGCAGAAAAAACTGCCTCTGCAGCCATCTATCCTTTCTTAGAACCTGAACGTCTAAAAGATGAAAATGATGATGGGAATTAAGTTGTGTAGAACGAACGATCTCTCAAATGGCAATATATGGTCACCAGTGTAAAGAGCAACAAAGAATAGAAATCAAGTTATATAGAAAAGAAAAAGTGAAATAAGCGATGGATGAAGCAAGAATCTTTGCTTTTCTTTTTCTTTTTTCCCTCTTGCTTGGATTCCACTCCTTCATGCATGGAGAAACATTGCACCAAATAGTGATGGCTGTTAATGTTAACAAAAGACAAGAAATCTTTTGCCTTCTCATTCTTTTTAGCTTCCTTCTACCCCACAAATAAAACCTTTGCTTCCTTAACTTCCCATTTAATTTCTTCCCTTCTCCTACATCGTCTCTGTTGGATTTTAATCTCATAAGAGATTAAATCTAATGGGTTTGATTGGTCAATTATATGAGAAATTGTACCTACACACTTGATTGAAAAATTAGCTTTTCTCTTACAAAATCCAGTTTTGAACTTATCCCACATTGAAAAATTATAAACTTCGTCTTCAGTATTTTAATAGGAGCTGATTTACATTCCTTAGAAATAGTAGAGGAGAGTATGGGGGTTTGATACCACGCAACGCGTGCGCACGCGTGTGTGCGGCGCAATGAGGCACTTTAGAGGTGCACTTTGCTCGCATTTCGTGTGCACCCGTGTGGCTCGCGAAGGGCGCTTTGGTTTTGGTGCGATGCTGCCCGTTGATCACCATTGATGAGATCAACGGTCACGATTCAATCGGGTGTGATCAAGAGGCACAATTCAAAGTTAACAATCATTAACTGTTAATTACTTTTTAAACAGTCACAGTTTTGAAATTGTTACTGTTCAATGTGCATTCTCTAAACCAACACCTACATTTTCTTCATACCTCTTCATAAGCTATTTAAGGAGCATGAATCAAACTTCAAAAGCAAACATTTTCGAAATCTACTTTCTCTCTCTCTCTCTCAGTCCGGTCTGCTACAGTCTCATAGAAGGTTTCTCCGGAGATTCTTCAACTTTGCTGGTTGCAGATTCTCGCCCAAGGCTCTATTGTATCCTAGGAACGGATTTTCCTGTAACCCAACAGCAAACTTGGTGAAACTGAGTGGGGGCAAATAACGTTCTAAAGACAGTGTCTTCAGACACGCCTCAGATCTTCTCCTCCAAAGTTACAATGACCCCATTTTCCAATAATTTTAGAACATTATTCTACAATGGAGGCGGAAGCAAGCATGACTTCGATTAAGATGATGAACCAAGATCTTGTTCGACTAGACCAGTTTGATAGAGCAAACTTCAGCCGATGGCAAGACAAGATGATCTTCTTTCTGACCGCACTAAAACTAAACTATCTGCTGGACTTGAATCTACAATCACTTTCTGAACCCACTAACAAAGACTCAGAAAAACTAAAGATGGAAAGAGCAAAACGAGAAGAGGACTCACTTCTGTGCCGATGACACATACTAAATGCCTGGTCAAACCGGCTCTACAACTTCTACAGGGAACTTACATCTCCAAAAGAAATCTAGAAGGCC